GATTTGAAGGCTGGGCTCTGCCAGCTAGCGTGGGGTGGGGAGGGAGGATGTCAGAAATGGGGTTGGCTAGCCCCTTAGCAGCCTGGTGTGGCCTCTATTGGCCTCTTGGATCTTTTAATCTTTTTTCTATCTCTGTAAGTGTGGTTCTCTTTTTATAACTTTTAATTATGTATTTATGATTTTATTTTGATGTAAACCGCCCAGAGTCCCCCATTGTGGGGAGATGGGCGGGGACAAGTCCATCAAATAAATAAATAAATAAATAAAAATTAATTGGGTGGCTATATAAATTTGATAAATATTTAAATATGACCACAGTGCAATGTTGGACTATTAACACCTTTCTCATGTACTAGGAAAATTCATTTCGCAGCAGTAAATGTTGTGGAGGCAAAAGCATTTTACTGCCTTGGAAATGCTGCACAAGGCAGTACTAGAGAGGATGTCTGGCTCAACCCACATCCCAACTTGTATTCCACTGTATTGATACACTGGCTCAAAAAAGAGCCCAAATACAGGAGACAAGGCACGAAATTCATGGTCTACAACCATGCTGCCACAGTGAGGCCTAAATGATAGAAATCTAATCCACACTTTTTTGTACAAGTGGGGATGGAGTAGTACATTGGCATGAGGCTGAGGGGGAAGAACTAGGCAGTATGTTTCTGCCTGGCAACCAAGCACTAATTGGCTAGCAGTTCCCTATACTTTTAATTGGCCAAAAATGCAAGTTTTGATTGACTAGTGGTTTCCTGTATGTAAAACATGCCCTGTCCTCATAGTCCCAAGTTTCAAAATTATGTCAAATATTCAGAACAGCTCTAACAATATCAAGTGGACTTTAAGATGGAATCAGGAATTGTTGGTAGGAAGGCTGGTCATCTGAAAGTGTCCATAGATTATGCTGGCTAGTAAAAATGTTGCATTTTCCTTAGCTAGTTCATTCTTTAGGTTCATCCATTCATGTCACAAACCTCCTAAGGCTTGAATTGCTTCAAACATAATAGCAGATGTTTCAAGAATGTTCACTGACCTGGAAATAATCAGCTTCCAAATACTATTTGCTATAGTGAAATATTAAGTAAGGGTTAGATACGACTCTTTTGAGGTGGAAGGGACAGTTTTCATTTGTTCCTTGTTTTGGGGATGTTGAAATCTGGAATTAGGCTTTTTGCTTTTGACTGTGTGAGAACTAGCTACCATACTGGATATGCTTAGGCTTGGAAGAAGTAACAGAACGGGCACATGGTGGCAGTCTTTATTTAAGTGGCTATCACAAAAAAGGCCATGATTTGTTTTCTTTCTTCCCATAATACAGGACGCAGGATTTAAGTTACAGAAAAGCAGATTCCAATTGAATGCTAAAGAAACATTAACTAAGAGACTTGATCCAAAGTGCAATCACTTAAGTGGGGGTTTCTGTTCAGTGGATATCTTCAACCAGGGGCTAGGCAACCATCTATCTATAATCATTAGGGTTACCAGGCTTCTGGCAAAGGAAGACATCTCCTTCTTTTGGTCCTCATGTCCTCCATCTGGCAGGTATAGCCTTAAAATCAAATATTGTTCAGCTTTTTGAGTATTCCTGAAAAGCTTTTCTCCGCGATGCAGCACTTCCCTATTAAATATTAAGGGCAAGTTAATAGGCTCTGCTCAGTGACCTTAATTAGTTGTTTAGTATTCTCTGGCCAGCTTGTTCTGCTGCCTGAAATTGACAAGCCGTTAATCAGTTACACACTGAAGGCTTTTACCTCCTAATCTGCTCTAGCACATTCCTGCCACTGAAAAGCCAGTTTTTCTAATGTCGGAGAAAGTAATTTCATATATGTAGGTCTAAGTACTGTTGGGTTTTGTTTTTTTTTGCAGTTTTTCACTATCATTTTTGCTGTGGATGCCAAGAAAGTTAAACAGAGAGTATCCTCCTTTCCCCCCATTTGTCCTCCTTTCCAAGTATCTGTGCCCTCCTTTGCCTGTTCAGGTATCTGGTAACCCTAATGATCACTAAAATCTCTAATGGATAAATGTGATATAGTAGATTGGTTTGCATAACATGCTTTACTCCTCTGCCACTTTTTTTTCCTCCTAGTATTTTTCCTTCTGCCACTATTCTCATGTAAATAGCTTACCTAATGAAGCAACAGCTGATGACTATAGCAGTTCTTCTTACATCAGGAACAGCTATCTTCACTTGTATCTAAGCTATTCTACAGACTAACAGCTATCTCTTCTGTTCTGGAAAAATGACAAAAGCCCATGTTGGCCCAAGCAGAGTTCAAGTCACAATGGATAAGCTGGGGAAATTTCTCTCACCTTGCTTCTGTTCCATCTGAACTCTTGCAAGGGGTTAAACAACAAAAGCAGAAATGAAGTAGCTTGAGCTCTGTTTTGCATGACCACTTTAAGATCTCTACGGCTGCAGAAAAAACAAAGTGAGTTCTACGTTAATCTTCTCTGCTATCAGCATGGCGATGTGAGAAGAGTAGTTGAAAGCAACCATTGACCGTTTGGGATTCAATTAACCCACTATAACTTCATGGCTTCTGGGTTTAATGTTTATACAATACACCAACCCATAACCTAGTTAAGGGGCTTACGTGAACACAAGCAATAACCCCAAATAATTCATTTTACATAAGTAGTAATACCCACTGAAACTGTCATTAACATAGTAAATGTACATAGGATATCAAACTAGAGCTGCAATTATAAGTCATGAACCATGGCTTACTTAACCAGAGTTTACTGTATAAACCACAACTATGCTCACATAAAATACCGTTAGGGTTTACTAGATCCCCCAATTACGTGAGTTCAAGCTAAACCCAAAGGTGACTTTAATTTCCTTAAGTCAGACAAACCTGTTCTGAGCAGGTAAATGAATTGAATGACTTATACTTACATTCTCTTCCTGCCTATTTAGAGCAAAGAAGCAATGTTGTTTACTAAAAAATAAAACTGCCCCAATCATAGCAAATGTGTTCTTAAGTATAATCCTAGGTAACATGTATAGCATCATTTTATGTACAGCATCACCTGCACATTAATTTTACCTAGAATTACAAATTCACTATATTTTTATTATTTCTGTACCTGGAGGTTGAGTCATGGCAACTGGACTTTTCTTTTGGTTTGATACGTTTCGCTCCAACTCTAAGCAGCTTCTTCAGTCTAGGAAGTTGGTTGGGGGGACCCCATAAATGTCTTCCAGGGTGGCTGCATTTCTCACTAACACTGTCCC